AGTCTCTGGGGAGAAGGGTATTTGTGTTGTTTGACTCTGCTGGTTGGCTTGTATCTTTCTTGAGACAGGGTCCCCATATAGCCTGGTCTCTCATACCCCAGGCTGGCCTTGGGCTAACAGCAATGCTCATACTTCAGCCATCCCAGTGTGATGTTGTGGGTATTTGCTGACACTTGGCTGAGGATGGGGGAAATCTACGAGAAACAACAGTGAGATCAAATTTGGTGTTCATTCCTCAATGCCACAGCAAGAAAGATTGCTTAATCAGTCCCTTCCGTCTCTGAGAAGAATGCGTTCCGGAATAATGTCTATCCTGTATCTAAAGCCCAGCTGTTGTGTGCTGACACGTGCTCCCAACATGGCGGTGTTAAGGCTGGGCTTGTTCAAGAGCCAGAAACGTCAAGGTCCAGCCTTGACATTAAGGGTAAGCTGAGGTAGGAGGTGGAGTTGGCAGAAATGGCTGGGCCAGAAGCTGGTAGCTCCCGGCAGATTCAGAGCCTCCGTGGATTATGGCAGGTGACTGGAAGGAAAAGCTGGAGGAAAGAACCAGAGCTGATGGCAAAACCAGCACTGCTTGTGACCAACTGGTGAGAAATTCTAAACTCTTCACTCTTCTGAGGCCAGAGGTGATGGCTTCCGGCACAGCTACATGCAGGGGTGCTGCCCCAGGGCTGGACTAGCCTGTACACTTGTCTGAATCACTCAGAAATCTATGACTTCTCCCTTTTCCTTGCTTTTAGCTCTTTTTCCTTCTTTCAGATCCCAGAGACCAGCTGGGTGGGCTGTCGGCCTTTTGCTCTTTCTCTGAAGTTCCTTCACCTCATTCCTGATCAGCCCGGCCGTCTGCCCTTTGGCTGCTGGCTGACCTCCATGCCTAACTGAGTCTTTGTCTCTCTCCTCCTCTTCCATTTATTTTCCAGGCTGCTCCTGAAAGTCTCACCTTGAATTCTCTGCTGTTTTTCCTTTTCCTTTTCCTTGTTTTCACTGGAACTTGCTCTGTAGTCTTGGACTGGCAGAAACCTGCTTCCTCTTCCTCCTGGGTACTGGCATTAAATGACTGTGTCACCACATGGAGCAAACCCTTGTATTTCATCCCCAGCACTGAAGACCTGGGGCAGGGACAGAAAAAATCCAATAGAAAACATAAAATATGGCTCCACCTTGCCATCATTGAGATATTCGTTCAAAGAAGTGATGGTCAACCCCATCCACACATTTTAATTTAATTGTTCTGGAAGGAAATGCAAGCATGGGTAACTTTCAAGCCTCTCAGGTGCTACTGCAAGGTAACTGTCATGCTCAATGTTGTCAGCTAGAAACTGTCTAGAGTCTTCTAGGTGACAGGCCACAGACACAGACTTATGGAAATACTGTCTAGCTCCTATGTCTGTCATCCTGTGTCAGCCCTGTGAGGGCTCCCCTGAGTGGGGGTAGCCTCAGAGAATGTCTAGAGATATTATCTTGGTCACTTAGTACATGTGACAAGACCCGTCTTCAGTGTGGGTGGAACCTTCCCCTGGCTAGCCTGGACTGTGCAGTGGAGAAAGCACATGGAGGGTTCTGTGGCCTGGGGATGTGATGTGAGCGGCTGCCTCAAGCTCCTGAAACTGTGGCCTCCCCAGCATCACGGCCTCTACCTCTGAATGGGACCCAGATAAGGCCTCCCTCCCTTAAGCTGCTTTTCTCAGGATTTGACCACAGCGACAGGAAGAGGAACCTGAGTGCACAGGTCCAGATGGAAGCTCTGCTGGAGGAGACTGGAGCGGGTGAGGGATGGCATCCTTTCTGCTGTCTGCTCTGCTCTTGCAGCTGAGGGACATTTTCCACACAATGGTGGGTCCCTGCCCTCTAGAAGCTGTCAGTCAGACACTGACCGAGGACAGTGCTGAGCCAGGCAAGCTTCAAGGACAGTGAGTGGCTTGGTATAGGTGACACAGTAGAAGACATCACTGTAGAGCTCCTCTCTGATTTGGGTCTTTATACAGAGTGTCCCAGGACAAAGGACAGGCTGGCCTGGCGCTCACTTTGTAGTTCAAGATGGGCTTGGTATTTGTCCAGCTAGTATTGGGTGGGTGCTTTGTTCAGTTTCAGTTATTTTTATTTTTCTGGTTGGTTTGTGCCAGAGATTATGTGTTTTGGTCTCTCTCTCTCTCTCTCTGTGTTTCTGTCTTTGTCTTTGTCTCTGTCTCTCTCTGTCTCTCTCTGTCTCTCTCTCTGTCTCTCTCTCTCCGTATGTGTTGATGTTCCCCTTTTTTGGCTTTTGTTTTGTTTTATTTATTTCTTTTCCTTTCTCTTTTTTTCCTTTTGGTTTTTTGATTTTCTGAATTTTTTGGGTTTTAGAGAGAAGTCCTGACTGTCCCAGAACTCACGCTATAGACCAAGCTGACTTCGAACTCAGAGATCTACCTGCCTCTGCCTCCCCAATGCTGAGGTTAAAGGTGTGCACCACCACAGTCTGGCTTTATTTATTAATTTATTTTTAATATTGTTGTTTTGATGAGGCAGAGTCTCACTATTTAGCCCTAGCTCATCTGGAACCCAGTATTTTAATCCAGCTGGCCTTAAACTCACAGATGTCCACCTGCAGCTGCCTCGTGATAGCCGGGGTTAGCCTCATAGTCTACCACATTCGGCCTCTTTTTTTGTTCTGTTCTGGTTTTCACTGGGTTTCTCCTTATCTTGAAGTTCTGGCTCTTTTGAATTGCCTACACAGCCTGGGCTGAGTCTGAACTCCGGATCTTCTGGTCTCCACCTCCTGAGTGTTGGGATCACGATGCTACTGCCTTAGCTACCTGCTTCCGCTAGCTGTTGGTTTCTTTTATAAATACCTGTAAATTTGGGCTAATTTTTCTTCAAGGTTAAGCTCAAGATATGCAGGCTCATCACTAACTGCAGAAAGGAGGCTGTACCCTTTCAGTTCAGCACATAGGATCCCCAGGGAACTGATGCCCCTCGTTGGTGGTCATGGTAACTTGGAGAATGATAGGTAAAACTCTCAGGCTCCACCAGAAGAATTAGAGTTTGTATTTAAGCAATGATTTTGAAGGACTGGAGAGACAGCTGATTTAGGCTTTGTGACTTCAAGCTGAAGGACATAGCAGATACAAGTGGCTGGGCAGTGGGCCATAGCCTATGAGAAGGTCTCAAATTAGCTTCCTTTTGAGTCTGTGGTCCAGAACCACTGTTAGTGTCAGAGCAGGCCCAGAATGAAGCCGTCTCTGATTTCCCCCATTCACAAGGTGTTCCTGTTAGACTAGATGTGCTTTACCTGGCCATGCTCCAGTGTTAAGGAGGAACAGAGAGGTGGCAGCAGCCATCTAGGTCACTCAGAAGACAAGCAAAGGTTAGCTCAATAAGAGTCAGGCTGGAGAGATGGCTCAGTGGCTAAGAGCATTGACTGGTCTTCTAGAGGACCCTGGTTCAATTCCCAGCACCCATAAGGCAGTTCACAACTGTCTTTAATCCAGATCTAGAGGTTCCAACACCCTCACACAGACATACATGCTGGCAAAACACCAATGCACATAAAAGTGAAAATAAAAAGAGAGTGCCCAAGTCTTCCATGGAGGCAGGAGGAAGGCCTTAGGAAGTTGGTTTTTGACAAAGAATTAGTATTTTCTTTTAGCTAAATTAACTTCATAATATAATAGATTAGAATTATTAAAATCAGAAGTGGAATTGGAGATACTGCTGCACATGCTTCAGAATGACAAGCATTCCATGGCTAATAAAATGTAGTGTGCGTGTATGTGTGTGTTTGTGTGTGTCTGTGTGTGTGTCAGTGTGTGTGTATCTGTGTGTGTCTCTGTATGTGTATCTCTGTGTGTATCTCTCTCTGTGTTTGTCTGTGTGTATGTCTGTGTGTGTCTCTGTATGTGTGTCTGTGTGTGTGTCTGTGTGTGTCTTTGTGTGTGTGTGTGAATGCCATAGATGTAACAGTACAATGCCAAGGCCAAAAAAATAGTGTGTGAAGATGGCATGGACTTGTTTGTAGAGAATGTTACATATGCTACACGTGCTACATGTGCTACATGTTTTCAGGACTGATGACTAAACTGGGCACCCCCCACCTCCCCACCCCCGGCAAATGAACAGACTCTAATGAGCTGGATTTTTCTGTGCTGATACTAACCATAAACAATTAGACTTGGGTTTGTTACATGTATAGGGACAGAAGCTGAACGTCAGTTGCCCGAGACTGTCGTGAATGGAAAGGTTTAAATAAGACTTGGAAATGGACCACGGTAACTGTCACACAGTCATGCTATTGTGCTTCATGCCATTCAACCGTGGTTGTCAAAATGGTTAAAATCTTATGTGTGCATTTTAGCACATGGAAAACTGTTAAGACAAAACAGGATCTTGTGCAAGGTTGCAATGGAATGAACTGCTAGGCTCAGGACAAGAAACTCAGTACATGGGGCCTTTATGTCCGTGGATTTTACATCTGGGCATCAAACAATATACAGATGAAAACTGTCCAAAGCCATACATCTACACCGAAACATGTCCAGTCTGATCCCCTACCAGTATTCCAACTTCAAGCGGATAGATGGGGTCTAGGCAGCACAGGGTTTGGGCACCAGGGAGGATTTGAGCTTGTGGGAAGACATACATATAGCTCTGTGCAAACACAGCAGCGTTTTAACAGGAGACTTCGAGCATTCACGGCTTTTGGTGAGCCTGCGGCATCTGAGCAGTTCCCTCTGGATCCTGAGGGTGGATCCATATGTGATTCAGAACCTGGGCCTTCCTTTGCAATTCTATCCCTATACTGAGGTCTTATTTTAAAGTCATTGTTATACTGTGTAACTGGACTGGCCTTGGACTCATTCTCCTCCCAACCTGTGTTTTATTTGGGGATTGCGGGTGGATGTCACCATGCTGACTGTCTCTCTTATCTGTAGTGATAATTTTCTCCTTATAATCTTCATAAACTGTGCACACTAGTGACATAAAACCTGCAAATCTCTGGTATCGGAAGAGCGGAGACATTAGCCCTAAGCCAACACCATGAGCAATGGGTTACTCTTCTTGGAACTAAAGGAGTTGGAGACTTCACACTGATAGATCCCTGCATCTGCCTTCCAGACAGGAGATATGGTGAGCTGGTGCTTTTCGGGTAACAGCGTGATCCTCTCCGTGATGTTCAGGGGCTTGTAATTGAAGAACCAATTGATCTCCACTCCGGTGTCAGGTGACACGCAGGTGAAAATTGAGGCACTCCTCCTTTTCACTCTAGTGTGGTTGAGCTGGAGATAGGGCTTTGTCACAATCTCTGTGTGTGAACAGAAGAGAGCAAATGAAAGATTCATCTCCAGACATCTCAGCCAGCCCCTCTCTGCTCCAAGGTACCTAATACCAACTTTGCATGGGGATTCAGAGCTGAGGGTACAGCCAGTGTCTTGTGCTTGCAGTGGCCACCCATGGCCTGTGCCATCCTAATCCAGCAACTGTGTTCCCTGGGTCTCTGTTTCTCTATAATAGGACACATGGTGAATGACCATTGCCGTGTCTGTGAGTTAACCTTAAATAAGAACAAGAACCTGACCTTAGAACAGGGGAGCTGTCCAAATCAGGGGAGTCCATTACCCTTTGCCTAGCTATGAGATTTCCCTGGGCTGGATATAAAAACCTGCAAACCCATGAGAAGATCTGGCTGATGGCCTGGGTACCTGTCCAGCTCAGTCTCCATGCTCAGTCTCAGCAGAAGGAGATGCCAAGGTTGGGGGGACTCGGGGGACCCAGCTTATATGTGGCTGTGATGGCAGTGGGCTGGCTGCTTACACAAGACAATAAATCTTAGTTCCATCTCAGCTCTAACAGAAAGTCCAATTCCAACCCTGAAGAGGAGGTCCCCAGGGTCACCTGGAGTAAAGTCTGGGACAAGGACTGGAGCCAGGGCTTCCTGGTGCTCACATCTTTGTGAGAATCCCATGTTTTTCTCATGCCAGAGTCCCTTAGGGTCTACCTCAGGGTCATGTTCACAGTGAGAGCCCTGCAGGTCTTGACTGAGTCTAATGTCCTCATCTGAGTTACCCACTGCATGCCCTGCTCTCTGTGTGGCGCATTTGGTGATGGGGTTTGAGTACTGTACTTTAGCTCCCTTGTGTGTGTCTTGCACCAAATGTTCAAGGGGACACAGGGCAGAGGGGAGGTAGGCACAGGGCAGCACTGTCACTCCTGTGTGTTAAGAGGAACGATCCCTCCAAGCACCCACTGGTCACAGAGAGTCACTTACTATATACTTGGAGATGGGCATATGTTATTTCCTGTTGGTTATGTGCTTTAAAGGTTTTTAAAGTGTAGAATCCCGTGTCTTCCTGGGTGATGGCGTGGAGCAGCATGGAGCCGTCCTTATAGATTTCTTCCCTGCCGCTGACTTCCTTTCCAAGTTGAAGTGAGTCGCTGGATTTTTTATAATGCGCAATTGTAAAATTCTCATTTACATCTTTCCCTTTGTACCAGGAAAAAGAGAGGAGGTTCTCTTCCTGGTCAGGAACATAGAGAAGAACCTTTGCCCCTTCGGCAGCCGAGAACCGCATCTCTTTGTGTGTTAGCAGTGCTGCAGTGGGCGAGTTCCAGCAGGTTAAAAGTGAGGCTGGAAGAGAGCACAGGCATCAGCATTGGGCCCACCATGTCCTGAGCGGGTGAGTCTAAGGGAGAACAGTATTCAGACGAGGTGTTTGGGCGCGGGTGTGCCCACATTCTCGGTGCAGAAAACCAACAGGAAGCCTGTTCCCTGGATGCCCCTGAAGCTGTGTCCTCTGCTTGGAACTCTCTCCTCCCGTGTCTGCATGGCCCCCTACTCACTGCGCTCACATCTCTGTCACAGTCAAGAGTACATTTGGTGTTGGGGATGCCATCCCTGACCTTCTTCTCTAGAGACCCTGGGTTATCACTATCTAATGTTGTTACTGTGGTCCCTGTATTTGCAGTCAACCCCTGACCACACCTTCTAAGATAGCCCTTGCTATTTCCAATCCTGGGCTTGTAAGCCCTGGGGTTGGGCTGCTCTTCCCGAGAGGCCCAGTGATAGGGACAGGCTCAGATACCAGTAAAGGAATGAAGGAGTGAGCATGTCCCGAGACATGTGTCTGTGGGTCTATTTACAGCAAGCTCGGAGCTTATGACAGGGTTTACATTGTTATGTGTTCTTGAAAGAGATTGAACCTGAGCTCCAGAGTGAGAGGGCGAAGCATCACAAAGTCTGATAGTGTTTCAGGCTCAGACCCAGTGGGAGCAGCCAATTTCCAAAATGTTGGATTCTGAGCTTTTCAGACTCAAGCCAAATCAAGACTCTTGGCAGCAATTCATAAGACTGGGTGGAGAAAAACACCTTCATGTAGGCATAAGCGCAGGGCAGGGCAGCTACGCAGGGTCCTTGTTAGTATAGCCTCCTAAGAGACAGCGTTCTTTACACATGGGGCTTCTTAACATAGGAGGAGATCTCTCTGATTTTAGCTTTTGTTTTCAAATAAGGTATAATATTTCCCTTTGCTATAGAATTTAGCTGTTAGGAGACAAAAAAAAAAAAATGAGTCTCTCCACTCACATAATGTGTGTCCTTCTCTTCCCCAGTGAGTGCGCACATGCATGTGTGTGTTGGAGGTGTCAGCGGATAGCTACCTCCCTGTCTCCCACAGCTGCCCTCCCAGTAGATTCTGGGCTCCCTGAAGCTGTGTGAAAAGAGGGACAGCCTGTCTCAGTTCCTCAGACAATGTCCTTCCTAGGTGTCTCGATTCCTGAGGGTGACAGGCACCTGGGCACATGCAGCCTCCAACTTCACAGGGTTAAGGCATCCCCTGCTCACCCACTGAAGGCATCCAAGGCACCCTTTCTCCACAGCTCCCCCATGGCTTCCTCACTTCCCCACAGCAAGGATCCCGCTTTCCTGATTTCCCCTTCCCAACCACACACAGCCGTCCTCTCCAGCACTGCATAAATCCTGTGGCCTCAAAGAGAGACCCTTGTCCGAGTCCTGGATCATAGCTCACTTCTCTCTTCCCACCAAGAGAATCTCTCCAGGGCTACCTCCTTCTTTGTCCCAACATTTTCTCTGTGCCCTGCTGCCAGCTCTTCCCCCTCACAGGGAGGAGACTTCCAGGCCTCTGTAGACTCTCAGGTCCTCCTCCATCATCCCCCCACCCCCATTGCCTGTCCACCTCTTCTGTGTCAGAAGCCCCAGCACAGCCCTGTGTCCTGCTCTCCCTCCCACAATGCACTCCTGCTTGGAGACTCCAAGCACACCCACAGCTCAGCATCAAGGCCCTGACCCCCATTCCAGAGCTCCTGATGGGCACAAACACACAAGCCTGGATCTGACCCAGGACATTTGTGGTCCTCTGGGTACTGTGCTCTGGGCAATCTCTGGTGCAGAGCAAACCCCCATTATTACCATGGCCACCCCTGTGGGGACTCCAACAGTCAGGGTACAGCCATGTACCCTGTGGGCACTGGTGACTAACTTTAAATAAAGAGGGACATGGCTTTTCCTCCCCTCTGAACACCCCTTGTTCCCTGAGAGCATCCATCTGAGCAGCCTGGGTCCCTCCCTGTGTCCTCTGCTCTCAGCCTGAAGCAGAGACTCCTCCCAGGGTCCCTTCCTGTCAGAGCGCCCCACCACCACCACTCCAGGCCTGGCCTCACCTGTGAGCAGGAGCCCTTTGCAGAGAAGCAGAGAAGGGGACTCCATGGTCTCTGCTCCCATGTGTGCTGTCCTGGTGTCCAAGGGTCCTTCCCTCTTATTTCTCCTGTCCTTACCCCAGGGTCATCTTCCAGAGTCACATGGGCTGTGTGCAGGGAATCTGCCCGAGGCCATGCGCTGTGTCAACTGTTCTTGCTGGGGGACTGCCCCTTCTTCCTCTCCCCTCCAACCCAACCTCACCTGTCTCTAAACCCATTCTTTAAGATTTACTCCTTTATTTGAGTCAGAGTCGCATTATGTAGCCTAGGCTATTCTAGAACTTACTGTGTAGCCCAGACCTCAAACTCACAGAACTCTGCCTGCCTCTGCCTCCCGAGGGCTGGGATTGAAGGCAGGCTCCACTATGCCCAGCTAAGATTTATTTGTTTAATGTGTTCAAATGTCTTACTTTATAAATGATGTGTTTTCACCTATACTTACCCTGATTCCAGAACCCATTTTAACCTATCATTCTGATTACCCACTTGCCCCTCCCCAAGACCCCACATTCTGATATCCTGGAGTGCCTGCCCTTTTCTGCAGCTTTTGTACATGGACATGATCTCTTGGTCAGGAAGCGAGCCCTGGCTAGCTGGGCCCATAGGGCAGATCTCCTATTCCAAACCCCAATGTTCTCATGTCCGTGATGAAAACGACTCAGCACCCCCAACTTCTCTGCAAAGTTATTGTTTGTTTGTTTGTTTGTTTGTTTGTTGAGCCTGGGCATCTCTCTGATTGACATCCAAACCTTAAGCCCCACCAGTCCCTAGGGCTCTGGTTCATGTGACTTCTAGCTGTGCAGGTCTCCAGGGTCACACTGGGGAATCTTGGTGGAGGCCCAGCTGGCAGCCCCCACTTCTTCCTGTGTGATAATTGGTCAGCTGTTCGTTCATCTGTCCTGGAGCAGGTGACAAGCAGATGTGAGGTAGGGTGGGGATGGAAGATGGCTGTCCCAAAGAAGCCTGCTTCCTGGCTTGGGCTTTCTCAGCTACCATTGACCGTCTTAAGTGAATAAAAATGGGGACATGATCACTCCAAGGGATGGCTGAAGAGAAGGTTTTTAGTGTAGACATGATGACTGGCACAGCCAGAGGGATCTGGAAAGGTCCAGGGCAGGGAGAGAAGGTAGTAGGTTAGATATGAGCAGTATCCTGAGTGGGACCATATGAGGAGAGAGAGGGGAAGAGAGAGAGAGGAAGAGAAGGCCAAGAGGACAGAGAGAGCCAGGAGTGACCAAAATGTCTGAGTTGTACAGGAATCAGAACCCAGGGGACGGAAAGCCAAGCTCCGGAACTGGAGAGGTTTAGGGTAGGGGGTGGGGCTGAGAGGAGCCAGTCCCTGGCTTCATGGACTTTGGTATATTAAACAGACACTACACTTAGCCATTTGTGGTAAGTTTCTTTGAGACCTAATAGTAAGCCCTTAAAAGAGTGGCAGAGCGTGAAATGTCCAAAGAAACTTTCACACATGTGTGCACACACAGACAGATATTCCACCACAAAACGAAACCCCACAACTTCCTCAGATGCTCTCTTGTGTTGTCATCTATGATAGGGTCGTTCCCTAGTGACCACGAGTCCAGGCCTTGCCCTCAAGACAAGAGGAAACTTACTAAGAGACAGGAAAGAGTCAGTGTAGCCAGGGGTCTTAGGAGCCTTGAGTGGGTTATCTGACTCAGCCTGATGAATGTCTGAAGGGAGACTTTGAGGGGAGAACAGTTAGTGTGTGGACAAGAATTTCCTCTTTTGGCTACCATGAGATTTAAGCCCAAACATCCCATTGGTTCACCACTAAGTTAATTATGTATTCACATTTATTAATTTACATTTTTTAAAAAATTTTAGTTAAGTCTAGTAAGTTTGGAAGTCATTATGTATTCCCTTTACTCTGGTCCCCAAAGCAAGAATCCTCCTGCCTCAGCCTCCTAAGTGCAGAGACTATACTTAAGTGTACATACAGGTCAGGCAGTGGTAGTACACACCTTTAATGTCAGCACGGGGGAGGTAGAGGCAGGTGGATTTCTGTGAGTTTGAGGTCAACCTGGTCTATAGAACAAGTTCTAGGACAGCCAAGGCTACACAAAGACATCCTGTTGAGAAAAACAAAAACAGCAACAAAAACAAAAAATGAAAATCAAAATCAAACTAAGTGGATTTGAATACCAAAGTTGCTACATACTAGCTGTGTAGCCTTGACTTATAAAAACTCCAAGGTCACTGTTAGGAATATTTAGCTTACTCTAATTAAAAAAAGAGAGAAGTCTGGACATAGTGGCATACACCTTTAATCTCACCACTTGAGAGGTAGGGGCAGGCAGATCTCTATGAGTTGAAAGCATCTTGGTTATCATAGTGACACTCTGTCTCAATAACATAAAATTTAAAAAATAAAAAAATAATGTAAAAACCTTGTTAGCTGTTTAAGAACTGTTTAAATACCAACTATAGTTTTTCCCCTTTGTTTTTGTTTGCTTGAGACTCGCTCTCTGGTTGCCCATTCGGGCTGGTATACACAGCTGAGGATGGCCTGGTGGCCCTCATGCCTCCAGCTCCCCAGTGCTAGGATGTCAGGGAGGTGCAGCAGCACTTCTGGAAGATGCTGTGCTGGAGTCTGACCCAGGGCATGCTAGGCAAGCACTCTGCCTGCTACACAGCATCCTTAGCACAGAGTAGACTTTCATTACAGACTGAGGCCCAAGCCAGCACTGCAGGGAACTCACGGCCACCCTGAAACCTTCTGCAGGAAGATGGACACTTCCTGAAGATGGATTCGGGACACTTCCTCCTGTAGACACAGGATGTCAGATTCCTGACACAACTGCTCCTGAAACATGTCCCGGAACAGGAAATCAGATTGGTGATAGCAGTGATTATAGATAAGTTTCTATACACGCCCATCACACACTTAGTCCCTTCCTAGCCCTGGGAGACATCTGACATCTGCTGCATGTGACTTCTACCTTCAGAACACCTGGATGATCAGCTGGGTGTCAGTGTCAGAACCATCACGTAGGGAGGCCAGGGGTTCCCTCGGGTATTGACAGACCCAGGCTAGGACTCAATAGAGGCCATTGCTGGGGTATACTGCAGGCACAGTATGCTTCTCAGCCTTGCTGCTCACTGTGTGGTGTGGAGGACTGAACTGCAAAGAGAGAGAAGGGAGAGGCATGGGAGGTGGACACTGGAGGGGACAGAGCAGAGTCTTAGACACCAACAGTCTATGTGGTTCTGGAGGGAGCTCCTGCCTGGGAGGAGGCTGAGCTCAGAGGAAGACAGCAGAGCTGGGAGCACAGCATGGAGCACAGGAGTAGGGCTGAACCTGAAGCTCTTCTCCACAGAGGGAGGACTGAGGAGGCAGCAGAGACCTGGAAATCCCCCCTCTCTCTTTCCCTTTCTCCTTCCCTCCCTCTCTTCCAACAAATGTCACCCTTGATGACAAGGGCTTCTTCTCACAGTGTCATAAGTAAGAAAGCTAGCAGTGTGGGTGTGGGATCCCTGTACCCATCACAGTAGGCAAGGAGACAGTCGGGTGAGGTCAGAATGAAGTTCAGGTCAGCCACAAGTAGTTAGGCAGTGCTGGGACAAACTTCTGGAGTCTGACACTGGGTGGTTTTAGCCATATTTAATTAAGCACAGCACGATTTGGGGGAAAACATTTCCTGATGACAACAAGGGTACAACACAGCTCAAGGCATGTTGACTTTGAGACTCTACAGAGTCCATATCCCTTCTTCCATGAACATGGGTTCTGTTGACTTACAGACAATGCTCAAGATGAGGGCCTGTGGAGGATGGCTGAGGTAAACACAATTCCTGTCCCAAAGATAACACAGAGGTCACTTGGGCTGTTGTAGAGTACAAGTGCCAACTGTCACGAGGATGCTGGGACAGACTAAGAAGCAATGCTCAAGATGTAGGGGAAAGCCAGGGATACACAGACATGATATTCCGGGAGACTCAGGTTCAGCCGGCCTTACAGATAGCTAGAGATGAGCAGGTTGTAAACGACAGCCTTTCCTTGAGTTCCTGGAGGAAGATAGCAAACATCTCCTTCCACTGAAGCCTGAGTGTTTAACTTTACTGGCTTCTCCAAGGCTTCCCTGTGTGCACAGGGACCTCTTACCCTCTACAGGTGGGAGGTCCTCACAGGAAGCTGAAACAGCTCCCTCAGCAGGGTTTGATGAGATAAAGGGTCTGAGGCCATGATGGGGCCTGGAGTGTAGGAACAGCAGGAAGTGGCAGAATCTGGACATGCCAGGGGCTCAAGGGAAGGACAGGCTTTTGTTTAAACCCTGGAGAAGAGCTTCACCATGATGAAAATGATGGGGGCTTGGGGGAGGGAAGAGAGGAGAGAAGGGATGAAGGGATGGAGGGAAGGCCACAGAATCTCTTCAGACAGCAGCCTTCAGCTCAGGACCAAATCCCTGAGCATTGTCTCCCTAAGAGTTCTGGACCGATTCCCAGGACAAAGGGAAGGTTCTATTGCTTCTGTTCTGTTAGCATGGTGGGAAGTTTCAGTCTCCTGACTTAGTTCAGCACAGCGTAAGGAGCACCGAAGAACAAGGTCCCACAGACAGAGCTGTCAACTTCAGTTTGCCTCTCCCCCTTAGCTGCAGGGAGCATGAGCTGGCTGAGGCTCTGGGATGTGTCCTAAAGGTGCAGGCCTGTGTGCTGACGAACAGCTGTGGAGCCCATTATCTGACTGTGGGTGAGAAGACGGAGCTCATAGCCTGGCTGGGTCACCCTCAGAGACCAGGAACCTGAGAGGAGACCCGGGATTTCTGTCTGCAGCCTGAGAGAAGAAGACACAGGGAAGAAAGAGGCTCAGCAGCGGGCAGCCCTCAGTGAACGGGAAATAGTACAGTGTGGCAAGAAAAAGCCTGGTTGTTCCCCAGAGTTTTGGTCTCTTTATTCTGAAGACTGATGTTCCTAAGAAATACTGGGTGTCTTTCCAAAAATCAAACAATGGGAAGGCCAGTGAGATACCTCCATGGATGGTACGACTTGTTTCAAAGTCTGAGGACC